CGGTTCAGCGTTATAAGGATGTTTCAGGCAGATTACACCCGCGGTATAATGGTAAGGTTACAAGCAGGTTACAAAAAACTTACCCTCGCGTTACATTTTTATTTACTGCGGAAGGTATATCTGCATTATATCACAGTTACAAACGCGTTACATGGCTCTGTACCGAGGAGTATATCTGGGGTATATGACGGTTACAAGCGCGTTACAGAACCCTGTACCGTGAAAGGTATATCTTGGGTTTACTCCGGTTACAAGAGCGTTACATGAAATAGTACTGCGGAGTATACCCAAGATAAATTCGCGGAAGGTATATGGCTAGTATACTGCGGTTACAATCGGGTTACAGCAGGCCGACCGCGGGAGGTATATTGAAGTTACAAATCGAGGTACAATGGAGTTACACCGCGGGCCAGGTAACGGGTCACGTGCGGTTTTATTCCGCATTAATATATTTATTTAATATATTTATTTAATGGAGTGGGCCCGGTAAAATTACGTGGCGTTTTGTGATTGGGCATCGCACGCATCGCTGCGTGCGTCTTACGTAGGCAAATTTTTTCCCTTTACTAGAGTTCACTGTAGTAAGTTAGCCGTATCGTTGAAGTCCCAATCTAGGTGGCTCTACCTTGGTTCAGATTCTCCAAAAATGAGTCATAAAAGAATGTTTCTATCTCAATTCAAAGAAGGAGAAAAATTCTACTGTGTTGCTAATCACACTCTCAGGATTATATAAGGAGTCATGTATTGGACTTCCCCCCTATAATCCAAGGATTAAGACTTGTCTCTCCTTCTTGCAGCCTCAGAATCCACACCACATTTTAATGGTTTCCATGTGGTGCTTTGAACTTTGATATATGGTGTGGCTTAAGGATATGGGGGAAGTCCTGTTTGGGGATGGACTCGGTCTTAGAAGCACTATTCTACTCCAAGAGTAATAATGGTAGCCCAACCAATTTTTCCTTTCCCAGGTTATGATCTCACATGGTTGAAGATCAAGTATGCATGGAATGTTGATGCCTGATTTATATGGTTTAGTTCTGGAGACTAACAAAGTGTCAATGCTCCGTTTACTTTTTCTGCTGTTAATGTAAATTGTCAAATGATACTGTCTGTTCCAATCGTTATTTTGTTGATAGTTTAGTGGTTGCTTCACCTTGTCTAATTGAGAAGTTTGTTTCCTTGAAAAGATTTGTTTTCTTAGCTGGTTTCTAATTTTATTTATCAAACATGTGACAGAAAAAGAGGCATCACCAACTCAGAACAATACTCTGTGGGAGATGTAAGCTGCTGTCTCATGGGCACATGGTAACTGCTGTTGGTGGCCATGGTGGCTATTCCGGTGGTAAGCAGTTCATTTTAGCCGAGGAACTAAGAGAAAAGCTTTCAGACATTCGCTATGACAAAGTTCTAATAGTTAAACTGGTACACGCTGTTTTTTCTGCTATATATTTAAAAAATATATGCTTCTTGTCATATTAAATAATTATAATATCTTTTAAGTCATTCTGTTTAAACCCCGGTTCAATCTAGATCTTTGAACATTGAATCTCTTCTTCTTCTTCCAGTTCAATGGTTGATGTGGTTTTCATAATCTTGGTAATCATCAATGGAAACTGTTAAGCTGGAGCAGATATTTGACAGCATTTGTGTAATATCGTTCGCCATATAAACTGCTAATTTACCCTCGCATTTGAGCAGAACAACCACATCAATGATGTGATTAGGTACCTTGGGTGTATACAATGCCAAATGGATTTTAACCAGTCCGTGGAAGTGTAGGCGAGCCAGGCTTGTCTTAATACTTCTTCCCACCGGTTTGGATGGCTCTGTACTGAACAACATAGTATATTTTCAATGGTGCAATTGAAAACCTTCATTTTTCTGTTTTGTGGGCGTTAAGCTATGCTCAGTTGCAATGATGTTGTTTAACGCTTCCACACCACACGCTAGAAGTAGCTGGCAAATTTAACATCACGATTTGAAATAAGATGGTGAGGAATGTCATGAAAGGGAGCAACTTCATGAAAGAATATGCGTTTGATATGAATGTCATTAAAGGTTTTCTTGCAAGCAACGAATTGCACCATTTTGGAAACTTGTCATTAACCATATAATGTAAGTAAGACTGTGAGGGATGCCATGAAGCGAAACAACTTAATGAAAGGATATGCATTTGATATGAATGTCATCGAAGGTTTTCTTGCAAGCAAGGAATACCATTTTGGAATGAAGGAATTGCTGGCAAATTTAACATCACGATTTGAAGTAAGATTGTGAGGAATGTCTTGAAAGGGAATCGCTTCATGAAAGAATATGCGTTTGATATGAATGGCATCAAAGGTTTTCTTGCAAGCAAGGAATTGCACCATTTTGGAAAACCTGTCAATAACCACTATGATGGAATTGGTGCCCTTCTTGGTCTTGGGAAGTCCCACGATGAATTCCAAGCGAATATCTTCCTAATATGAATTGGGAATGGACAACGTGATGAATACCCGAAATTTTCGGCTGTTTCCTTTTATGGTTGACAGATGGGACATTTTTGCCACAAACGTGATAACATCTTCTCAAATGTGTGGCTAGAAGAAGTCATCTTTGAATTGGGAAAGAGGTTTCTATTGATCGTTGCTAGACCATGGACATAAATCTACTTGATGAGTTGAGTTCTCAACGAGGTATCCGGAATGCACAAATGATAACCTTTGAATAGAAATCCATGCTGTAGTGAATAATCTTTAATGCTGTTAAATTGAGTCCATTGCTTCCAGATTTCATCAAAGTCATGATCACAGTCTTAAAGGTCTAATGAATTCAACAATAGTGATTTTGGCTTGCATGTTGGTGAGAATATTGGATTTACGGCTAAATGCATCAACAACACGATTTTGTGATCCAGATTTATACTTTAATCCAAGGTTGAATTTTTATAAAAGAGAATCCAATGTGCATACATCTGGTTAATTGTTTTTTGTTTTTGGTACTGCAAATTTAATAACTGAAATATAAAAAATATAATATAATAATAATAATAATAATAATAATAATAATAATAATAATAATAATAATAATAATAATAATAATATGAAATAAGATGTATCGATTCGAAATAACTGTCGAGCGGTTCGATTATTAGAGTCGAGAGGGGGCTTTTTGCTGTCCTTTGACCCGTAGCCTTCAAAGAGCGAACAAACGAGAAAGAGAGAGAGTGAAGAAGAAATCAGAGAGGAGGAAGCGAGGCGGGTCGTTTCTAGCCCTAATTTGCGGATTCGTCAAGGATCTTCACATCCGACACATTGTCTAGTCAAGTGGTTTGCCAGTGAGTGAAGACGGGAGGAGGAGGAGAAGATTTTGAAGGAGAAGAAAAAGCCGAAGGAAGGAGTATGCGGCTCCGTCGAGAGGAAGGAGAAAGGACGAAGGAGGAAGTAGTGGAGCGAACCTTGCATGCATGCGGGATGGTTAGTTGAGCCTTTCGACGCTAAGCCCTAACCGAAGGTGGCAACAACATTGTACTCATGTGTAGTGGAAGGAGGCGGCGGCGTCGTGCATGTGTGATGCTGGATTGAGTTGCAATCAAAGAGGGAGGAAGGGGGTCAGACGACTTAGGCGCTGTGCTCGTGTTGTGGAGGAAGAAAAGGGGCCTTCGTGCATGTAGGCAGGGCAATCAATCATAGTTTTATTAAAAAAAATAATAAAAAGTTTGTGGTTGTGTGTGTGCTTGTGGGGGCGTGCGTGTGTGAGGGCGTGCATGCATGCGTTGGGGCGTGCATATGTGTGTTTAATGAAAAACTTTATTGAATCGGGATCAAAGCTATTTAAATCCCGAAATTAGATGGGGAAGAGATGATGCAAACTTTCTGTACGAGGGAAGAGGAAGAGTTGCGGGCTTGAAGTGGAGAGTCAAAGGCTAGTGAAACCCTAATGTGCGAGTGAAGGTAAGTTCTTGTTCTAGAATTGTTTATTTGAATTTTATTTCGTTAAATTTATATATATTTAATATGTTAATGCGAAAAATGTTAATTGAGATCAGAGAGGCTAGCAAGAAATTTTATGTGCAAGTAAGGGAGGAGATCGATCTGAAATCCTATAAGGTACAGGTTAAGGTCAATGTTATTATTAGAATTAATGATACAATTAGTTAAATTATTATATTCATTTATTTAATTTAATTAGGAAGTATGGAAGAAGGCTATTCAGGTTTGAGATTGGTAAAAGATTGATGATGTAGTGTAGTGAAGGGATAACTATTGAAGATGTCATTTAAGATTTTAGGCGAGTAATTATTTTCTTGTTTGTATTAAAATAAGATTTTTTTTTTTAAATGAATAATTGCATTATTGCTTTATATACCTGTTTTTATAATCAGAGACATGTTGAAATTACAGAATTTTTGAAATGAATGAAGTGAAAATTGAAAACGGGGAATTGTGGTTTCAATGCTTTAAATGGAAGTAATTAAAAGAAATGAAATGTAAAAGCTCATGTCAATGAGGATTACACCTAGATGATACTGGTAGGGGATGCGGCGTATTCATGCACAATAAAAAAAATGGTAAAAGTTTATTTTCACGTGCAAAATTTTGAGGGTACTTACGAATATAATTTTGAGGGTACTTACGGGTATAATTTTGAGGATACTCTCGGGTATGACGATAATCTTTATATGATTTTTATAGAGGTTAAAAAGGGTAAATACTTAAATGAAACGCGAAGAGATAAAATTAAAGTGAAATGTTACAATTTTATGGAATAATGAACTGTATTCTTTTGGTCATTCATACATGACATTTGCATATGAGTTTAATGTATATTAAGATTATAATTGTTCATCAAGTCTTGACTACATACTTTTGAATTTAATGGTTTATTTCGAGAAAATAAAAACTGTACATTGATTTATTTGACATGTGAAACTTAGTTTATAAAAGGAGGACTACGACTGATAGTTATAATATTATGATATGGTTGTAGTTTCTTTTTATATTTCTTTTTCTTCAGAGTAGTGATATACATATATATGTTAGTTTGAGATGTTTATAGTCTATGTTATTATTTTTGGGTATTTCAATCTCATGTGTATTGTACTTTGTGGATCATTAGTGACTCTTTTATTTATTGAAAGTCTGAAAAAAATTTGAAAAATAAATTAAATATTAATACCGTGCGACCGCAACTCCTAACTTGTTTAATTCTAAGCTATCAAGCCAGGTAACAAAGCCTTATGATCACTATTAAGAACAAAGTCTTAATGCAACATATAATATTCTTGTTAAATTTGCTTTATCTTTGATTTTGATGACAACATATGCTTCATTATTATAATGCTTCAGGATTTTTTGTCCATGTTTTCGATTAGCAGATTTTAATTTATCATTTCAGTTTCCTGAGAAGGAGGTGAAAAGTTGTCTAAATTAAGAGCATGATCTGTGATGCTTTGTTTATGTTTGCATGTTTTTGAACAGCTCATATTAGATATGTATTAATAAATCTTAAACCCTAAGACATCATCTTGAGAAAGCATTGATAGGCCATGCTAGAAGTTCCCATCAACATGAGGTTTATGGGAGGGTTAAAGCTCGCCGCCTTCATTGTAATGAGGTTGGTGCCATGTTTCATCGACATCAAACATTACACATGCTTGGGAAACTGTGTAACTGCTGGTCATCTCAATTTTGTTGTTTTATGAAGATTCATTGACATCAAACATTACGCAGTGTGATTCTATATAATTTTATTCTTTTTTATTTATTTCTCAATAATTATGTCAGTTCTGTTTTTCTTCTGTTTTCATAATTCTACTTGCCTGTAAGGTAATTTTTATAATTGTTTGTCTTATAACGCTTTTTTTTGGCTTGAATATCTCTGAAGTTCGCTAAAATTTTCAGGTGTGCCTGTTATGTTATGTTGTGGTTTTTATAGTTCAATATTTTTACATCTGCATTTTGGCTTAAAGGTGCAATCTAGGTGCTGTTTTTTTGGTTTTTCCGTCTCCTTATGTTTAATTGACTGTGATTTAATTATGTAGGTTGACATAGTTGATTTCAATGGCAGTTTTCTGGCCCGTATACGTGATATTGCTGGTGCTAATCCAATAATACTAGTTGTAACAAAGGTGTTGCTATGTCTGTAATCATTGAAATTTCTTTTACTCTCTTTATTTCTTCTAAGAATCCTTTGAATGTTCAATAAGTTTATAAATTTCTGTCCTAGGTTGATCTCCTTCCCAAGGGTACGGATTTGAATTGTGTGGGTGACTGGGTTGTGGAAGCTACCATGAAGAAGAAGCTCAAGTAAGACAGCTTCTTTCTTTCATTTTTTTTCCTTTTCGATTCTTAAGCTTTACCTTTTTATATGTCTTTTTAATACCATCTGGCAGTGACGTGTTTTTATCTTGAATGCTAATGATGCTTGATTTTAGGTGTTTTTGCTTTTATTTCTGCCCATTTCTTCTTGTTTATCTAGTCAAATTTGTTTTCTTTATGTGGAAGGTGGCACTGGCTGCTCGTGTCAATGATAAATCCTTTTGATTATTCATGTTAACTGTATAATTTGATTCATATTTTCAACTATTTGCTATCCTTATATCTTATTTCTTTATATTTCTTGTTTTCTTTTTAATTCATAGATTTTGATTTATTTATGATGTCTATAAACTTCATTATATTTATCTATGGCCCAACCAGATAATTATTATTTTGGGACATTTACATGCATAGCAGACAAGTCTTATTTCTTTACATATCTCTCACCTAAACTTTCATATTTACACACATATCACTCAAATCTTCAACATCACATAAAAAATAACTCTATTACCACTTTTTAAAAAGTGAAATATACCTTTTCATGTATAGATTTAAAGCACCAAAGTGCACCAAAGTGCTATGTATGTAAAATGAAAGTTTAGGTGTGAGATATGTAAATACATAAGAATTGTGCGCTACTTATGTAAAATTCCCTTATATTTTTATTATGTTTCTTTTGTTTCAAGGAAAATTAAAGTTTTTGTTTTTGTCTTTTGAGGAAAAAATTCATGAAGGCAAAGTTACCTCGTGTTTCAGAAGATGACATCAAGCTCTAACAATTTATATATATCTACAATATTTGTTTCTGTAGTTGTCTTGCCTGGTTCATCAACCTTTGCTGGATATGATAACAGGAGTTATTGCTGTCACTAGCTAATAAGATGATTATTTTGCAGCGTCATCAGTGTCCACCTTACTAGTTCGAAGTCTTTGGTGGGGATTGCTGGAGTTATATCAGAGATTCGAAAGGAGAGAAAGGTCTATTCTTATTTCTTCTCGTACCTTCATGCTTTGCCTAGCATGAAGATTTTCTGACTTCAAGTTTCTTTAATCATTTAAAGTGATCGTAAATTTACTTGAATCTGAACGTCACTTTGTTAACTAGAAATTGAGAAATATAGTTACCTTGAATACTTTGACATTGGAACTGAACCTCCCTAAATGACATCAACACGAATTTAATTTTTAATGTAAATATTCTCTGCATCATTTTCTTAGTATTTATTTCAAATTTTATATTTTTTAACATCCGAAAATTCCTAAACTCATAAATGATGTCATTTATAAATAGTATTTACCAATGTATCAGCTTCAAAAATATGTCGTACAATTGTGCTGATTCTTTATTTTAGCTGTGCTTTATAAAATAAAATCATCATCTCTATTATTATTTTAAAATTCTGCATATATTGCATTTTTTTTTAAAAGTTACAAAATTATGCAAACTTTTTAATCATGCATGTACAAAATGAGACCTATCATCTCTAAGAAAAAACAACAAGAGAATGACTATCATGTACATCTTTCAAAACAAAACTATCCTTTAAAGCTAACAATAAGCACAATGTGAACTGCTCGGTTGTTGTCTCTCGCAGTGTGACGAAAAATGACCTGCCTAATTTGAGTAACAAAAACATAGATCCAAATCATCTCTGATGTTCTCCAATCAACGCTTCCTATCCATAGTGTGCCTCATGAAAGAAATAATGTTGCTGTTATCTCCCTCAATAATGATACCTTTCATCTCAAACGTCCATTGCTCTACCATATGTTTGATTAGAAGGACCGGTTGGAGTTCTACTTTAGCATAGTCCCAGTTAGTAAGCCTTTGACCGGCTGCTGCTATGCAATTCCCTTGTTCATCCCTAACAAGGACGCCGATACCTGCTAAATAAGAGGGGAGGAGATCCTCTTCCACATTTTTGATCCAACTAGGAGATGGGGGGCATGGGGAAAGAGAAGGAAACAGCCTCACTGGCTGACTGGTGCTCCAGTGCTTCTGTATTGGATATGCATATGTGAGTGTGAGTGTGAGTGTGAGGGAGTCAAGTACTGAAGCCGCAGGCTGCAGTGATAGTTGAAGTCCCATGACTCCTTACACGCTTCTTTGGATTATGAGCCCTCCAGCTGTCATGGGTGGTATAGCAAAATATTCTGGCCATGGCCTTCAAATGTGCTTCAGATTTCCACAATTCTTGGACTATTCCGTTGTAATTGCTGAACAGGGGATACCAACTCCCCATTTCCACATGATTAGAATAACCTGAAGCAGGACTATGCACTTAGTTGTAGTGCGTTCGGTCTTTCTCTGCCGGGCATAAAGTGTTGGATGCAAGCCCGTGTTTGCTAAACCAATAATTAGTTGGTATAGCATCATGTAATGATCAACAGAAAAAAACTTCTCACGGGGGTGTAATTGGAGCTTATAGAGCCACCTGTAGTTTCTTGTATAAGGAGAAAACAAGACATTCTATGTAAGGGATGTAATGGTCTTACCCGAGCCTTAGTGAGCTATGTCTGATCTTCTGGGATGTTAGTGTTAATGATAACATTCATAACATTCATAATCATATCTACATTGTATGACATCATTGTCCTACCTCCCACCATTTAAAAGATCAGCCACGTACAAGTAATAGTTTTTCTACATCAATAAATGCAGGCCTACGTGCCAGTGGAATGTCAAGAATCCAAGCTTAATTAAGGCAATGTTTGTTGTCTCTTGTAGCAATTCGTCATCTCAAAATAGAGTTTAAGCTGTGGGCTCCATCTTTAAAGGATCCGCCAAATGGTAAAGTAGTTTCGGTGGCAGCTGCTGTTCCGAAGATTGTTCCCATATCTCTACCGCAAACATTTATTAAGTAAAGAATTAGGCCTTTCCAAGAAATCCAATGCGCCAATTCCTTGCAGCATGAAAACCCAATCCTCCTAGCTGGCATGGTTGGTAAATTTTGTTCCAGCTGGCAGAGCAGGGCGCCATGGTTTGATCCCCTTCCCCCAAAGAAAATCTTGACACATTTTTTCTATTTCATTTAGCGTACTTTTAGGCACACTAGAATGAGTGCTTATTTACATAAATATGGACAGCAATGATGAATTTATAAGAGTAACGCCCAGCCATGGATAGGTGACGAACATACCAAACGGTACTCTTGTTGATTCTTACAGATCAACTAGGTGAAGTCAGACTTTTGCAGTTTCCTTTGAGCTAATAGAATACCACAATGATCAAATTCCTCTACTCTCTTAAATTTTAGCAATCTGGCGATCGTCCTCTTCTTCTAATTTGGTGTCTCTTTGCTGAATACACAGTTGATTTGCAGTCATTTACAGATTGATTTCTCCAACTGCTGTAACTGTTAAGAGTTTGCTGCAACACCTTCACAGATTGGATGGTAGCAGGGCTGAAGTGTAGAACACAGAATAGGTTGAGAAACTTTGGTTCCGTGGTTAGAAATGCTAATGTCAATCTGTTTAACCTTGCGTGCCAATGCCAGAGAAAGCAATTCAGAACATAGAATAATAAGATAATGCGATAGTGGACATCCCAGTTTAAAACCACACGACGCTTCAATCAAGTTTGTCCGGCTTCCATTGATGAGGATGGCAAATTTAGGGAAGCTGGTACAGAGGATAATCCAATCAGCAGACTGGGAAGGAGAGTTCTTAAATTTTAAAACCATTCATAACTGCTTCCCAACTCATTTTGTTTTCTGTTTGCTCCATGTCAATTTTGAGAGCCATTAGACCTATCTCGCTTGTAAAAAAGTTTAAACTTATTCATAGTTCCCTGAACAATGAGACAATGGTTCGAAATAGATCTTCCTGGAATAAAGGCCCCTTGTTCCTCTGATATTTAATTTTGGGTCGAAAACCTTTAAGTCGATTCACCAGGATTTTGCCCACCACTTTTTAGATAGTCTGGCATAGACTTGTTGGTCTTAGCTTCATGGCAGTATCTGGATTTGCGGTCTTGGGCATCAGCACCACAACAATTCTTTCCAATAACTGGGCATCACACTAGATGTAAAGAAGTCACCCACCGCCTCAATCACCTTCTTTTTAATGATCTGCCAGAAGCTTTTAAAAAATGATACGGTTATCCCATCCAAACCTGGAGCTCAATTGCATCCCATTTGCTCAATAGCATTTCAAATTTCCTCTTCCTAAACATTGGTTGTGAGAACCACATCACTACCTGTTAGAACCTGCCTAGCTTCTCCCCCACTCGGACATGAATTGGTGTTAACCCAAGAATAATTCCAATGTTTGTCGAAGAACTTAAACAATATAGCTGCCATCCGAGTCTTTGATTTGGTTTATATGGTTAGATCTATTACGTGCGGGTGCCACTGAGTGAGAGAAGTGTGAATTACTATACCCCTCATTGGGCCATCTGGTTTTGATCTTTTGATGCCACCACGTAGCAATCCTGGCAAGAGTCACATTCAATTCGGGCACTTTATTACGAAGCAAGGTCTCCAATTCAAGCGTGAACCCGCAAGCCATGCTTCCTGCTGTTGAAGCTCTTTAAATTCTGGTTGAAGCGTATTTTTTTCTTTCCCCAAACTCCTTCAGCTTTTTCTTACTCCAATATCTCAGAGCTTTCAGAGTTTTATCACATTTTTGCTACAAGATCTCAGCTTTATTCCTTGACAACTTCTTGCACCAAGTCTTCCTGACAGTGTTTCACGTAGTTGGGTAGGACTGCCATACATTCTTAAACTACAACCAGCTCGATGGGGGTCTTTATTAGCATGGATCTTACCAAAGCTTCCTCCTTATATGGTGGTCTTTATTAGCATGGATGGTAGCGACAAGCTATCTCTTGTGATTAGGGAAGTGGGCATAACCAATGATGCATTGTTTCTGCATGGTATGGATAGTGAAATGTACTAAATCCTTTCTCCATAGGATGATCGTGCCTAGGGCTATCAAAAAAGCTCGTTGTTCGCGAGCAGTTCGTGTTCGGTTCCTCAATGAGTTTTTTGTTTGATTAGTTCGATAAGTAAACGAGACGAACGTGAACAAATTTTTTTCGTTCGGTTAGTAAACAAACCAAACACGAACAGTGATGTGTTCGTTCGTGTTCGAATCGTTATTGGATATATTATATTAATTATATAACTTATATTATATAAATATATAATATCTATATTAGTATATTAATAATATAATATATTAATATATTATTATTATTAATTTATTATATATTTATATAATAAAAGTTATATAATTAATATAATATATTATTTATATATATTAATATTAGAGATGTCAAACTGGCTCACCGTTCGCCTCGTATTCGCCTCGTTCGTTAAGAAATAAACACGAATAGTGACTTCACGAACAATTTCGAATACGAGCTTATTTGAAACAAACTAAATTTCAAACGAACCGAACACGAATATAAGCTCTGTTCGTTCGTGTTCGGTTCGTTTACACCCCTAATCATGCCTTCTGATTTACCTTTGGCAGGTTGAAAGGTAAAATCCCATTTGCTAATTATAATTCGATTGTCATGACTTGAACTGAGAACTCGTAATTAACAAGACAGGACTTTTAGTCGGGCGGAGAAAAAACTAACAGTTTCATTTCATAATTAAAATGAAATTCAAAACACAGAAGAGCCATTCTATTGCATAAAACTTATATTTACAACAATTTATTCATATTTAAACATTTACATGTAACAAAAAATAAAATGAACCATAATATCTATCAGTCTACACTCCTCAGCGCTTGTACAGGTACTCTCTGTGATCGATCTAGCTTAAAGCTAGTTTTCCTGTAAAATGTTAGCAATTAAACGTTTGAGTTAAAACCACTTAGTGTGAAAAAATTTCTAAATTATAATAATTTTTGTTTTAAAATATTTTGTAAAAGTGAAGTAAAGAAAAGTCAGTAAAGGAAATAATTTCATTAACTTATATTTATTTCTTTCACAATTTTAATTAATGAGAGCCATAAACATTTAC